CAATATAAATATGGATTAAACCACCATCAATATAAATATGGATTAAACCACCATCAATATAAATATGGATTAAACCACCATCAATATGTATGGCGGTGGCTCAGACCTGATCTCTTCCTTTTTGAATGTATATTTATCATCTCTGCTCTCACACACACACACACACACACACACACACACACACACACACACACACACACACAGTAGTACTAGATCAACAACATCATGGTGTTATGTGTGTGGGGCATCAAGGTACAGTAATACTAGATCAACAACATCATGGTGTTAAACTAATCTTCTCCCCTTTCTAGGCAGTACTATGAGATGCTGTACAACGCGGCAGACGAGCTGCTCAACCTGGTGGTGGACCAGGGCGTTCGCTACACAGAGCTGGAGTACATCCATGCCCTCAGCCTGCTGCAGAGGAGCCAGACGGGCGTGGGAGACCTGAGCACGCAGAACGTCCGGCTGCAGCGCCTCAAGGAGATCATCTGCGAGCAGGCAGCCTTTAAGCAGGCCATCAAGGATAAGAAGATCACTACTGTTTGAGAGGGGGGACATTGGGGGACTGTTGTTGGCAATGGCCTTTCTGCATTACTGTCCAGTGTTTCTCAACCTCCTGTCTGTTAAAGGGGTTTAGATTAAAGCATTACTGTCCTAGTACAGATGTCCTGGAGCAGTGTTTCTCAACCTCCTGTCTAGAAAAAGGGTTTTGATTAAAGCTAGTATTTTAGAGCTGACTAAACAGTGTCAGCTAACCATCTGAGGGACTAGTCAGCACCTTCTCAGGAACTGGTGTCGAACTGGGTTTGTAAAACTGGGTTTGTCCTTATTAGAGTGCTATTGCAGTCCATAAATAAACCATGTAATATGTTTTAGGGGTTGAGATAATGCTGGTAGGCTGTAAATTGAGTAGATACTGATTTAAGGTTTAAACTTTGTTACCAATATGCATCTGTTGTTGTAACTCATCTGCTTATTCACTGGCAAGAATGCAGCCAGTTCCTCAAGAAAAAACATACACACATACCACACACAACACACACACTCTACAACTTATAAAAATGACTCCCTTCAATCATCCCATATGCGGTCGGCCCTAGTCTCACCTGTGGAGAATGGGGGGTCGGCCCTAGTCTCACCTGTGGAGAATGGGGGGTCGGCCCTAGTCTCACCTGTGGAGAATGGGGGGTCGGCCCTAGTCTCACCTGTGGAGAATGGGGGGTCGGCCCTAGTCTCACCTGTGGAGAATGGGGGAATTCTCTGACAGCCTGGCTTTGGGACCTTTCTCATCTCATTTTCCTATTACATCTAACTGCTGCTCTCAATTACAGCTCTACCTCCTGCTCTCCCTCGTGGGCCCGCTGACTGTGTCTGCAGGACCAGATGCCAGATTAGACTGTCTAGATTATCACTTCTCTCCTTCTGCTTGTGGTCACTCTTTGTCCCCAAGGACAAAGAAAATAATTGGTTCTACACCTCAGCTGTGGTTCTCTATTTTTCTCTAAATTGTTGAATAATGTAGATTGGATATAATGTAGCTATAGCCGATTCTGATTCTAGTATTTGCGTCTGCCCTGAAAATATGCATATACTGTGCTGTAGCTGTAGCATAGGGGATGTGTATATACACTGTGCACAATTATTAGGCAAGTCAGTATTTTGACCATATCATCATTATTATGCATATTTCAACTCCAAGCTGTATAAACTGGAATGCTTATTGGATTTAAGCCTGAGTGGCGCAGTGGTCTAAGGCACTGCATCGCAGTGCTAACTGTGCCACTAGAGATCCTGGTTCGAATCCAGGCTCTGTTGCAGCCGGCCGTGACCGGGAGACTCATGGGCAGCGCACAATTGGCCCAGCGTCGTCCAGGGTAGGGGAGGGAATGGCCGGCAGGGATGTAGCTCAGTTGATAGAGCATGGTGTTTGCAACGCCAGGGTTGTGGGTTCGATTCCCACGGGGGGCCAGTATAAAAAAATATGTATTCACGTAAGTCGCTCTGGATAAGAGCGTCTGCTAAATGACTAAAATGTAAACGTAAATGTAAGCATATCAGGTTATGTGTATTTGTGTAATGAGGGATGGTGTGGCCTAAGGAGATCAACACCCTATATCAAGGTGTGTATAATTATTAGGCAGCTTCTTTTCCTCAGGCAAAATGGGCCAAAAAAGAGATTTAACTGACTCTGAAAAGTCAAAAATTGTAAAAAGTATTTCAGAGGGATGCAGCACTCTTGAAATTGCTGAGATATTGGGGCGTGATCACAGAACCATCAAACGTTTTGTTGCAAATAGTCAACAGGGTCGCAAGAACCATGTTGAGAAAAAAATATGCAAATTAACTGCCAAATATTTGAGAAGAATCAAACATGAAGCTACCAGGAACCCATTATCCTCCAGTGCTGTCATATTCCAGAACTGCAACCTACCTGGAGTGCCCAGAAGTACAAGGTGTTCAGTGCTCAGAGACATGGCCAAGGTAAGGAAGGCTGAAACCCGTGGCTGGATCAGTAACGGGACCGGAGCTCCACTTCGACTCAGACGCCAGCAAGGTGGAGGTGGGGTACTGGTATGGGCTGGTATTATTAAAGATGAACTAGTTGAACCTTTTCGGGTTGAAGATGGACTCAAACTCAACTCCCAAACCTACTGCCAGTTTTTAGAAGACACTTTCTTCAAGCAGTGGTACAGGAAAAAGTCTGCATCTTTCAAGAAGACCATGATTTTTATGCGGGACAATGCTCCATCGCATGCATTGAAGTACTTCACTGCGTGGCTAGCAAGTAAAGGCCTTAAAGATGAAAGAATAATGACATGGCCCCCTTCTTCACCTGACCTAAACCCTATTGACAACTTGTGGTCCCTTCTTACGGTGAAGGAAAACAGTACACCTCTCTGACCAGTGTCTGGGAGGCTGTGGTTGCTGCTGCACAAAAAGTTGATCGTCAACAGATCAAGAAACTGACAGACTCCATGGATGGAAGGCTTATGACTGTTATTGAAAAGAAGGGTTGCTTTATTGGTCACAGATTTGTTTTTTGAAATGTTTATTTGTAAATTTTTAGTTTATTATTCTCACTTTAACAGATGAAAATAAACAAGTGAGATGGGGGACTTTTCGTTTTTCATTTAGTTACATAATAATTATGCACCCTAATAGTTGCCCAATAATTGTGCACACAGATATTCTCCAAAGAAAGCCAAAACCTCACTTACTCTCTTAAATATTCAGGTTTGAGGTTTATTAACATTTTGGACTGACTGAGAGCACTGTAGCTGTTCAATAATAAAATTAGTCCTCAAACATACAACTTGCCTAATAATTGTGCACACAGTGTAGTCCAATGCTCAAGGTGTTGAACTTAATAGGGATGTAATTGCAAATCACTAATCCCCTTCCTACCGTTACAACTGCTAAAACTTCTGTTAAAACTGTTATAAAGTGAAAACACCTGCAAGGAGTCACAAATCATTGCTTCCCTGCATCCCCTCAGTATTTTTAGTTAATTAACTCAGAGGAAATGTACTTAACAAGAGCGAGCGAGGGAGGGAGGAAAGAGAACAGGGGAGAGTTGTGGCGGTGCTGCTCCCCAGAACCCAGCGGAACGATCCATCATAATGACACGTAGGCTGGGATCAATATGAGCCATGTGGTTGCCGGAGGGATTGCCTAGCGCCATAGGAACCGCATTCGTTTTACTCAGCACACTCAAGACACACACGTACACATTCACACACAATGCACACAAACACATACTATATTACACACACACTATGGAGGTCTCTAGGGCTTGCAATACTCCACACACAATTGAGGAGTTTTTTTCTGCCAATTCTGTGAACAAGGGCACACTCCATCCGGATTTAAAGTATCTGGCATATCTGACCCCTATACCCAAATGTGTAATAATGTGGCCAACTCATTGTAAAGATCTACACATATGTTTCACTTTTTTTAAACGCTTTGCTTTATTTGTTTGTTTACTAAGACATGTCCTTTTGCACATCTACAGTATGTAATATGAGAGTAGTTTCATGTCTGATTAGATTTTTCAGAAACATCTGATAAGAATGTAGGCTAATGTGTCCCGGTGTGATTTAAGGATTTATTTTAACCTTACTCCATTGTCTGTTAAAAGTCCTTTTCAGACCAACGCCTTGAATATTAATAATTTTACACTGAATTGAAGAAAGATGATTTGCCAATGTGTACACGGATCTTGCTGGAAAAATAAAACATAAAAATTCCCTGTCTATATGAATAGTTTGTGTGTTTTTGTACAATAAACAGTTACAGTTTCCTACCTTGCGTAATCAAGGGACAAGTTTATTCCATTGACAAAGTGGAATTGACGAATGTCATACAGAACGAAACACTACCCAAACTGTCTATGCGCTGTTGCACCATATAATAAAAAATAAAAAAATCTTATTGACACAAATTGACTGTGTCCGATGATGTCATTTTAGATAGACAGATCAAAAATATACACTGTCAGGAATTCAGCACACCTGCCAGATCAGATGGGATGTCAGAAGAAAGCTTTTTTATAGAATGATCAAGACCTGTTGAATGATGTCTGATGCACAAAGCACACTACTTGAAATCTAGTATGTCAAGCTTTTTTCTGCATTTTGGTGAGCATGATTGAGGTTTCAACATGGTGATGAGTGTAAAGTTATTAGATGATGGAATGGCTTATATTTGTCTCAGCACACAAAAATGCAAAACCATGAATATATTACTTTTTCCAGACGGTGGAACCTGGGAACCATGGTTTGGAAACTTTTATGAACTGTTGGGAAGTAAGTGAATCAAAAACGACATATCCCACAGTTCAATTCACCTACTGACACTTCGTCATCGTTACTAAGCAACAGAGAGAACGCGATCAACTCCAGCTGAGCCAACTTCCCAAAATAGCTAGCTACCTAGGCTAATTAGTACGTAAAAATAGCCAAAAAGTATTCTCCGGCAAAACATTTTAATCCAAAATGTCTTCTACTTCAACATTTTCAACTTTGCAAGATATCGGGAAGCAAACAACGTCCCAGTATTCCTCTGGGTCACCCACTTGCTATCCTCATGAGTCAATGACACAGGAGACCACTGATGCGCAACCATTTCCTGCTGCGGTTCATCAGCCGTGTGCAGACACGTTTTCAACCTCCGAGGAAGAGGAGACAATGGAGGTAAGGGAGGAAACTAGGGGTAACATAGCTAAATTAATAAGGATGCTAGCTAGTTTGGCTTGTTTTCATGACACTGCTTTAGTCAGATGAGCCATGAGGCTTGGAGAATAACAAACGCTGTTTATGTTAATTACTTTGATGATGCAAGCAACTTCTCTCTCTAGCTACTCAGAGGTTCATAATAACAGCAGAAGTTTGGTGCATAAAAACAATGCATGACTTGTTCTATTGTGTACTCCAAAATATTTGATGTAGCTATGTCTCATACAGAAAAACGATGGTGTGTTGACTGAAGAGGAAGTATCCAGCTGTTTATCCAACCTGGGACACTCTGCCACTGGACTAGAGCATGTCTATCAGTTCCTCTCTGCACCTGTAAGAACACACACTTCAGGTTGATAATATGCTTTACAAGAGTAACTGTTTACCATCAGACTAATCGCAGAAGATTATCTAACAAATCTGCTTACTTTCCATTTGTGTTGCATTTATTTCCTTTTTTTGTTTTCTATGTCATGTGGAATTCAATTTCGGAATATGTCTCCATCCAGGGTCAAAATCTGAAAAATGTATCCATCCTATGCAATTACGTCCACCTTCAAAAGCTAGAACTTCCTTACAACAAAATAAAAGGTGTGTGTGTCTCATATTAACAAATGCACTGTATGCCTTGTTATGTTTATAATTACTGATATAGAAAATGTAGCTTGATTAGCCTAATTGATTAAACTACGGTTAATTTCTCATCGGTGCCCTTGGAACTTCTTCTAGGCTTCTGGTCTGGATAATAACAGTTGTGTGTCTGGTGTTGCCATCTCTCCCACTCTGCTCGCCCAACTCTCCTAATGTTTGTTGACTGGTAGATTTATCCTGTGTAAGCCACATGCCATATCTCATCATCCTGGATGCCTCCCACAATGAACTCACCGACTTCTTTGGATTCCAGCCGCCCAAGAACCTCAAGGTGGGACCTTCAGCAGACAGGATAAGACAACAGTTGATTTGTGGCTTGGGGTTTCTGTAAGCCTATAGTCCCAGAAGATGGGCTCCAATCATCATAGACCATTTATAGTGTCATTCCATATGCTTACTAAGTATTACCTACACTTGAATGACAAGGAACTTACCAGGGTTGACTTCTTCTTGTTTAGCAATGAGTTATACAGTACTAGTAGAATTTATTATACTATGCATACATTTGGTCGTTTATTTTCATATTTCTTCCTTGCAAAAAGCATTTAAAGATTGGTCCACTTGAATAATTATTCATGTTTGTTGTATTCCGCAGGAGGTCAACTTTTCCCATAACCAGATGTCAGTGATGACACATTTGTCAGCCTATTCGTCTCTGAGTAAACTGAATCTGGACTGTATCCTTTAAAAAAGCATTTACACACACACACAAACGTCAAGTTTTTATCTAGACTACTTCCTCGTTGCATACCATTCTTAACGTGTACCCTCTCTGGACAGACAACTGTTTCAGTGAGATTGGTGGTCTGCTGCATTGTGCCAGCCTCACACACCTCAGCCTGGCACACAACAAGATCTCCCGTATCAGTGGCCTGGACAACCTGCCAATCAAAGACCTCTGTCTGGTAGGTCCTAACTCCTCCACCTGCCTCTTGAATGATTTCATTTCTAACACTTTTCATGTCTGTTATATATGGAGATATCGCTTTACGTTAATAATGATATTGTTAGAAAGATTCTTAGAGATAATATTTTAGTTATTATGCTAATGTATTAATATGCCCATACTGTTGTATAGACGCAGCTCTCCAAGCACATCTGTACTGTGGTTAGTGGTTGGTCTTATGGTTTAATTAATATGGCCTACAGACTAGCACGTGTTTTCCTGTGAATCAGTTGTTTTCCGTTTTCACCTTGATGTATCTCCTCATCACCTGGTGTCTAAATTATTCCATTATGTCATCACTTTTCAAAAAGGTTATTCCCCCATTATGGTGCCAGTTATGCGTGCACACAATATTTTAGCACATCTTTCTCTTCAAACATGATAACAGCAGGTGGTGAATTTTTAACTCTTTCCCCCCGTCTCATATTTAAACCCCAGACATAATTGAGCTTCAGCTTTTCAAAGACACACCAACATGAGCTCCAGGGTGAGAGCCACCATATGGCTGTACCAGCGGGCCTCCGGACCCTTCCCTCTCCCTCTCTGACAGATGCTGGTGTCCTTTATCAAAGTGATTCCTCATCGTCAGCACGATGCAGCGTGTCCTCCCCTGTCCGGTTTCCCCCTCCCCTCTGGGGCCAGCTGCCGGCGGTGTCAGTGAGCCTGGACCATGTTCAGCCACCCCCCCCCCCCCCTTTCTTCTTCCCTCACACCTCACCCCGTAGCATCCCTGTTGACAGGGAACCAGCCGCTGTCTCCATCTCCCCTCTCCCTTCCCTCTCAGCCCTCTCCTGCCCCGCTCCCTAACAGCGTGCTACAGTGAGGGAAAAAAGTATTTGATCCCCTGCTGATTTTGTACGTTTGCCCACTGACAAAGACATGATCAGTCTATAATTTTAATGGTAGGTTTATTTGAACAGTGAGAGACAGAATAACAACAACAAAATCCAGAAAACGCACGTCAAAAATGTTATAAATTGATTTGAATTTTAATGAGGGAAATAAGTATTTGACCCCTCTGCAAAACACGACTTAGTACTTGGTTGCAAAACACGACTTAGTACTTGGTTGCAAAACCCTTGTTGGCAATCACAGAGGTCAGACGTTTCTTGTAGTTGGCCACAAGGTTTGCACACATCTCAGGAGGGATTTTGTCCCACTCCTCTTTGCAGATCTTCTCCAAGTCATTAAGGTTTCGAGGCTGACGTTTGGCAACTCGAACCTACAGCTCCCTCCACAGATTTTCTATGGGATTAAGGTCTGGAGACTGGCTAGGCAACTCCAGGACCTTAATGTGCTTCTTCTTGAGCCACTCCTTTGTTGCCTTGGCCGTGTGTTTTGGGTCATTGTCATGCTGGAATACCCATCCACGACCCATTTTCAATGCCCTGGCTGAGGGAAGGAGGTTCTCACCCAAGATTTGACGGTACATGGCCCCGTCCATCGTCCCTGTGATGCGGTGAAGTTGTCCTGTCCCCTTAGCAGAAAAACACCCCCAAAGCATAATGTTTCCACCTCCATGTTTGACGGTGGGGATGGTGTTCTTAGAGTCATAGGCAGCATTCCTCCTCCTCCAAACACGGCGAGTTGAGTTGATGCCAAAGAGCTCCATTTTGGTCTCATTTGACCACAACACTTTCACCCAGTTCTCCTCTGAATCACTTCAGACGGGCCTGTATATGTGCTTTCTTGAGCAGGGGGACCTTGAGGGCGCTGCAGGATTTCAGTCCTTCACGGCGTAGTGTGTTACCAATTGTTTTCTTGGTGACTATGGTCCCAGCTGCCTTGAGATCATTGACAAGATCCTCCCGTGTAGTTCTGGGATGATTCCTCACCGTTCTCATGATCATTGCAACTCCACGAGGTGAGAACTTGCATGGTGCCCCAGGCCGAGGGAGATTGACAGTTATTTTGTGTTTCTTCCATTTGCGAATAATCGCAACAACTGTTGTCACCTTCTCACCAATCTGCTTGGCGATGGTCTTGTAGCCCATTCCAGCCTTGTGTAGGTCTACAATCTTGTCCCTGACATTCTTGGAGAGCTCTTTGTTCTTGGCCATGGTGGATTTTTTAAATCTGATTGATTGATTGCTTCTGTGGACAGGTATCTTTTATACTGGTAACAATCTGAGATTAGGAGCACTCCCTTTAAGAGTGTGCTCCTAATCTCAACTCGTTACCTGTATAAAAGACACCTGGGAGCCAGAAATCTTTCTGATTGAGAGGGGGTAAAAATACTTATTTCCCTCATTAAAATGCAAATCAATTTATAACATTTTTGACATGCGTTTTTCTGAATTGTTTTGTTGTTATTCTGTCTCTCACTGTTCAAATAAACCTACCATTAAAATTATAGACTGATCATTTCTTTGTCAGTGGGCAAACATACAAAATCAGCAGGGGATCAAATACTTTTTTCCCTCACTGTACCTGTCAGCCAGCCGCCTCTCTCAGCCCATCACACCCAGGCCTCGAGAGCTTCCAGGGCTCTGCGCGGTCACCGTCCCCCGCTGTCGGCAGCTCTCTGCCAGGCAGGCTAGCGGTGGAGGGCATGGGGGCGCTGGGGCTGGATCCTGGATGACAGCCCACGCAGGGGGAAGGTGGGGTGAGGATGGGTAGCTACAGAGGAGGAGGGATGGTGGGTTATAGAGGAGAGGAGGCCTGGTCTGTAGTGCTTTTGGCATGCCCACACCAGTGTCTGGCCAGCTGTTCACCTGTCACTCATCACCTGTCAGCCCGTACCATTGGAGCTGGCCCGTCAATCACACACACCGTCTCATGGAGAAATGTTTAACTCCTTACAGATGGGGAAGGGAACACTGTATGGTAACTTTGATAGTGGGGGTGTGGGGTGGGTATGTGCGTGTGACGTGTGTATGTGTCTGTGTGTGTGCGTGTGACTTGGGTGTGTGTACGTGGGTGTGTGTAGGAGGAGGGTGAGTTGTGTGTTAGCTTGTGTACGTTCATTGATATGTGTGTGTGTCATGTATCACATCCTCTCTATCCAGAGGGGGAATCAGATTGAGAAGATAGAGAATGTGGAGACTCTGAGAACACTGCAGGTCCTGGATCTGTCTCTGAACCGCATCACAAGTCTGTCAGGCCTGCAGAACCTCCATCTGCTGGGCTCCATCAACCTGGAGAGGAACCTGGTGAGCACAGTTCATTCCTTAATGTCCTGCTCTCTTGTCAACCTGGAGAGGAACCTGGTGAGCAAAGTTCATTCCTTAATGTCCTGCTCTCTTGTCAACCTGGAGAGGAACCTGGTGAGCACAGTTCATTCCTTAATGTCCTGCTCTCTTGTCAACCTGGAGAGGAACCTGGTGAGCACAGTTCATTCCTTAATGTCCTGCTCTCTTGTTATCTGATGTTTTTTGTGTATGATATACTGTTCTCAGATCAGTGAAATTAATGAGGCCACACACATCCATGACCTGTGCCTGCTCCGGGAGCTGAATCTACAGAGAAACCCAGTCCAGGTAGCTGCACTGCACCTACACCCAGAACACATCACTAAACTAACACCTTATCTCCCTAATGCTGTCTGCTTTCTCTGTACTGACAATAGACATATCCATGAAAATGCTGCCTCTTTCACTGTCGTTTCAACCCCAGGAGCAGCTGGACTATAGACTGGCAGTGATCTTCCTCCTTCAACACCTGACTGTCCTGGACCAGGAGAAAGTCACAGCAGAGGAGAAGGTAGGTGGATGTATGAGATGCTGATCAGTGATGGAACTTAAGGATACTAGCCAGCTGGGCTAGTAGACTGTAATTTCTACTAGCTCAGGTCCAAAATCTGCTACAGTGGGTGAAAAAAGTATTTAGTCAGCCACCAATTGTGCATGTTCTCCCACTTAAAAAGATGAGAGAGGCCTGTAATTTTCATCATAGGTACACGTAAACTATGACAGACAAAATGAGAAAAAAAAATCCAGAAAATCACATTGTAGGATTTTTAATGAATTTATTTGCAAATTATGGTGGAAAATAAGTATTTGGTCAATAACAAAAGTTTCTCAATACTTTGTTATATACCCTTTGTTGGCAATGACACAGGGCAAACGTTTTCTGTAAGTCTTCACAAGGTTTTCACACACTGTTGCTGGTATTTTGGCCCATTCCTCCATGCAGATCTCCTCTAGAGCAGTGATGTTTTGGGGCTGTCGCTGGGCAACACAGACTTTCAACTCCCTCCAAAGATTTTCTATGGGGTTGAGATCTGGAGACTGGCTAGGCCACTCCAGGACCTTGAAATGCTTCTTACAAAGCCACTCCTTCGTTGCCCGGGCGGTGTGTTTGGGATCATTGTCATGCTGAAAGACCCAGCCACGTTTCATCTTCAATGCCCTTGCTGATGGATGGAGGTTTTCACTCAAAATCTCACGATACATGGCCCCATTCATTCTTTCCTTTACACGGATCAGTCGTCCTGGTCCCTTTGCAGAAAAACAGCCCCAAAGCATGATGTTTCCACCCCCATGCTTCACAGTAGGTATGGTGTTCTTTGGATGCAACTCAGTATTCTTTGTCCTCCAAACATGACGAGTTGAGTTTTTACCAAAAAGTTCTATTTTGGTTTCATCTGACCATATGACATTCTCCCAATCCTCTTCTGGATCATCCAAATGCACTCTAGCAAACTTCAGACGGGCCTGGACATGTACTGGCTTAAGCAGGGGGACACGTCTGGCACTGCAGGATTTGAGTCCCTGGCGGCGTAGTGTGTTACTGATGGTAGGCTTTGTTACTTTGGTCCCAGCTCTCTGCAGGTCATTCACTAGGTCCCCCCGTGTGGTTCTGGGATTTTTGCTCACCGTTCTTGTGATCATTTTGACCCCACGGGGTGAGATCTTGCGTGGAGCCCCAGATCGAGGGAGATTATCAGTGGTCTTGTATGTCATCCATTTCCTAATAATTGCTCCCACAGTTGATTTCTTCAAACCAAGCTGCTTACCTATTGCAGATTCAGTCTTCCCAGCCTGGTGCAGGTCTACAATTTTGTTTCTGGTGTCCTTTGACAGCTCTTTGGTCTTGGCCATAGTGGAGCTTGGAGTGTGACTGTTTGAGGTTGTGGACAGGTGTCTTTTATACTGATAACAAGTTCAAACAGGTGCCATTAATATAGGTAACGAGTGGAGGACAGAGGAGCCCCTTAAAGAAGAAGTTACAGGTCTGTGAGAGCCAGAAATCTTGCTTGTTTGTATGTGACCAAATACTTATTTTCCACCATAATTTGCTAATAAATTCATAAAAAATCCTACAATGTGATTTTCTGGAAAAGAAATTCTCAATTTGTCTGTCATAGTTGACGTGTACCTATGATGAAAATTACAGGCCTCTCTCATCTTTTTAAGTGGGAGAACTTGCACAATTGGTGGCTGACTAAATACTTTTTTCCCCACTGAATGTGATGATGGAGAAGACAACATTTCACCTGCATCTCGGGCTAGCTTGGCAAATGTTCTACTAGATTTCCATCCATGTGTGTAATACTGTGCCTATAGCAAGTGGAGGAGGGGCATCAATAACTGAGTGGCATGTTTTGCTAATTGGGACAGTGGATGCTAGCCTAGTATGTTGTTTATTAAAAACAATGGGATAGGCATATGTTTTAATGATACATACAGTACTTCTAGATAGGACTGACTTGAAATAAGATATTTATCGCCATTGTGACATATTAACGTGTTCCCCAGGTGTCGACTGTGAACAATATAACATATGAACGTCTCCCCCCGTGTTCCGCAGGTGTCGACTGTGAACATTGTGACATTTGAACGTCTCCCCCCCATGTTCCCCAGGTGTCAGCTGTGAACATTGTGATATATGAACGTCTCCCCCCCGTGTTCCGCAGGTGTCGACTGTGAACATTGTGATATATGAACGTCTCCCCCCTGTGTTCCGCAGGTGTCGACTGTGAACATTGTGACATATGAACGTCTCCACCCACCTCCCCCGTGTTCCCCAGGTGTCGACTGTGAACATTGTGATATATGAACGTCTCCCCCCCGTGTTTCCCAGGTGTCGGCTGTGAACAAGTACGACCCTCCTCTGGAGGTGGTGGCGGCCAGGGAGCACATGAGCCACATGGTATACCAGCTGATGCAGCCTCAGGTCATCTATGATAGGTAAAAACAGCAGGACCCGTCAACTACCCTGACTGGACTACCCTCCTCATAACACGACTCTCAGCCATACGATGAATAATCTAAATAAAGCTTACTTACTAAATTAACTTGTGCTCGCAATCTTTAAAAATGAAGAACCCTAGCTTTTCTGACATTTATGCTCTATTCATACATCATAGAAACTGACCTATCCCCTGGCCTAGAAAATCAGATTTTTCTGATTGGCTAGTTGTCCTGAACAACGGGAAAAAGTACTTCCTATACTTTTTATCCTTGTGCTCTCCCTCTCTCTAAATGGTGTACTATATCGTACATGTGTTGCTGTGTGTGTGTTTCCCAGCACTCTACCCAGTCTGGACTCTCCCTACCCCATGCTGGTGTTGACTGGGCCCCAGGCTTGTGGGAAGAGAGAGCTGGCCCACAAGCTCTGCCAAGAGTTTAACGACTTCTTCGCCTACGGGTGAGTCCCAAGGGCCAAATGCCACCCTATTTCTTACATAATAGTCCACTACTTTTGGCAAGCTGTGGCCAAACTCTGTGGGCTTGTATGCATCCAGAATGCCACACTAGTCCTTATATAGTGTACCAGTTTTAGCTAGCTTTGCTTCTAGGGTTTTGTGCTCATTGGAATAGACTTTATCAAAGGATGCAGTTAGCTTAAATATGAGAAGGCCTGGTCACAGGTGAAGGCTAGGGTTAGGGTTATTGTTTAGGATGGTACTAAATATATTTCCCCATCCATAGATACATGATACTTCCATACTGTTAAACCAGATGTTTAGTACTTCCAACATATGAGTGATGGCGAGTGATAAATAACCAGGTTCCCCACCACGGCAATGGAAGAAAGATACATGCAGTAAATAGAATGGTAGAGAGAGCACGTATACTGGAGCGCTGAAATCAAAAGAACATCTGCCGGACATGGCTTGTCTGTGGCTCTCACCTCACGTCTGGTTTTATTAGAAACCTCTAGACCAGGGCTCTCCAATCCAGTTCCTGGAGAGCTACCCTCCTGTAGGTTTTTGCTCCAACCTCAGTTGTAACTAACCTGATTCAGTTTATCAACCAGCCAATTATTAGAATCAGGTGCGCTAGATTAGGGTTGGAGTGAAAACCTTCTGGATGGTAGCTCTCCAGGAACAGGGTAGGAGAGCCCTGCTCTACACACACACACACACACACACACACACACACACACACACACACACACACTTCCCTCTACATCCCAAAACCCACCACCACCAAGCCTCTCTCCTCTCCAGAGCTAACGTTAAAAACAGTTAATATACTTACCCCTCCTAAATGACAAGATCCAGTTGATGTGGACATTGGAGTGCTCCACCTCACCTCTATAGGGGAGTCGGAGTGTGTGCGTGCATGTGTGCATGAAAGCGAGTGTGTGGCACGTGTCTGTCTATATGTCTAGTCTGTTCGTCTTTCTGTCTCGGTATGTTGCAATACCATTATGATCCTTTGGAGTTTTGATTAATTTTTAATTTTGGATCATTGTGCGCTTGTTGATATTTACTACATTGATTGATAGGAACAAGGAACATAAGCATTTCGCTGCACCCACCATAACACCTGCTAAACTGTGTACGCGTACAATAGAATTGAGTTGCTAGCTTGTATTGCTGTATTGTATCCATTTGTCTCTTGTTGTCACAGAGTCTGCCATACCACCAGGGGTCCCTACTTTAGGGAAGAGGACGGGAGCGACTATCATTTTGTCACGGAGGAAGACTTTCAGAACATGATTCACATGGTATGTGTTTGAGATTGACTACATTGCAGTGTCACCTTGCATCCCAAATAACTATCCGTTGTGTGATCAACATTAGCGATTCTGCACCTCACCTTGCTCAAACTGATCCCCTCAAACACACTGATGGTGTGTCAGTCTGGTATTCATTTAAAGTATTTCAATTCGTAAAGATATAATGTTAAGGTTAAAAAATCTGTGGTTAGCCCTGTCCATGACACCACCACATATTCATCATACTTCAGAATTTAAATAAACAGTATGTTCATCCAGCCAGCAATTTATTTGTGAAAATGTGTGTAGCCTAGACATGACAAGTCTTCTGGTTTGAAGTTTTGTAAGCTGTTCTCTTTGTTAACTCTAAAAGACAGTAAATAAATTGTTATGTCATACTGAGTTATTAGCTACTTAAATATATTTCCTTATATCTACAATATTAGACACTTCAAAGCACAAGAGTTATCAAATATTCCCAAAGGAAGAACTCCTAGATATCCTACACGGGGGGGCCTGAGGTACTATAGAGTATGCCTGCCCGGCCAACTTTCTTTTAACTTGAGGCCCATTCGTTTTTATTTCTAAAGGTGATTATGTAAGTGCCGTGTGGCCTTTATAAATAGAGGTCTTTCTCACAGTGATATTTGGAGGGAAACCCTTTGAAGTGGGGATTCTAACCATGCACACTGTAAAGTCCAGAGGAAGTGTCTCAGGTGAAGTTCTCCAGACTGAAACCTTGATGAAGACGGCTTGCTGTGGAAACCTGGGCAGCTTTTCCTTAGACAGACTCCTTGGATCATTCAGACCACATCAGACCAGTTCAGATGTGGACCCTTCCTCCCTTACCACATACATACATCACAGACTCGTATTCCCTACCACATACACACACACACACACACACAGCTCCATCCTGAAAATGTGCCTCAATCAGCAGTCCTTGTGCTTGTTGTATTGTTCCACTTGGCCCGTCAATAGAGTAACGATAAGGGTGCTTTGTAATTTGGGCCTGATGGTTTCCAACCCTCTAAAAATAGGGGTTGAAGTTAAACCAACTGTAGCACGACAAGGGTCAAGTTCCTGAGGGAGTCTCTCAATAGGCTATCAGTAGGGCACAACTTCTATCAGAACATCAACTAGAAATGTGATATATATAGAATGTGGACATGAGAGCCTTACCAATTCTATATGTTAAATTTCTATCTGAATATTGGGAAACAGTATAGCCTACCTTGAGAGTAGGTTACAGTCCTCAGAGCTGTCCGTAGGGTCGTAAAGCGTGATGGATCGTAACGCTGAGCATACCGGCCCCAGGTGCAAGTAGACGAGGGGTCAAAGGGCGCGGCTGTGTGAACTACAGGGTAGCAGGGGAAGTGATGGTACCTCTGACTGCAGGGTCAGGAGTTTACCTCACAGGTGGGGACATTATAGCTGCGGTTGTTACTCTTCTCTGGACATAGCAGTGTGTTCGTGTAGGACCCTGTAGGTTTTGGAATATGAATTTGACTCTTAACTTTAAGTAAATGTTGCACCCCACGATAGTTGACTGTCCCAACTTACAGCTTTCTGTTAACTTTTCTTTTCTCTCTTTCTGTCTGTCCCCCCCCCCCCCCGTCTCCCTCTCTCCGTCTGTCTGTCTCTCTTTCTCTCCTTCTCCCTCTTCTCTCAGGGTAAATTCATCCAGACGATGCAGTACGCGGGCCACTGGTATGGTCTGTCTCGTGAGGCCATAGAAGACGTGGCCAGGGAGGGCCTGGCCTGCTGTGTGCACCTGGAGCTGGAGGTTGGTGTCAACACACACACATTCACATAGCCCAGCAGTATGAAATTGAAAGGCTAATTTTCTCTCTACTGTTCTCCCAGGGCGTGTTCAGTCTGAAGAACAGCCACTTTGAGCCGCGATACATCCTGATGATCCCCACAGACAAGGAGCAGTACGGCGGGCGGCTGAGGACCAGAGCTCTGTACACTCAGACCCAGATAGAGACGGCTGTAGCCCGCGTGGACACATATGCCCTGATCAACAGAGAACGCCCAGGCTTCTTCGACAACGTCATCCCCTGTGGTACGTAGCTGATGATGATGATGATGATGATGATGATGATGCAGACCAGTATATAGAATATAGATATGTTTGGACACACCTACTCATTCAAGGGTTTTTCTTTATTTTTGCTATTTTTTACATTGTAGGATAATAGTGAAGACATCAAAACTATGAAATATCACATATGGAATCATGTAGTAACCAAAAAAGTGTTAAACAAATCAAAATATATTTGATATTTGAGATTCTTCAAATAGCCACCCTTTGCCTTGATGACAGCTTTGCACACTCTTGACAATGTATACACTGTATTTCTGGTCAATTTGATGTTATTTTAATGGACAGAAAAATTGCTTTTCTTTCGAAAACAAGGACATTTCTAAGTGACCCCAAACCCCAAACAAAGTTCATGTTCTGTTATCTCTTACCCAAATAATGTTGTTGGCGTATCCTTTATTCGTATGTGTCCAAAGCATAAATTGGAGTAAAAATACTTTAAAAACCCCACCTCAAACTTATATCGCAAACAGACCGTTTAAAAAAATGTCATGTTGGCTCATTGGCTGAGCTGGCCAATCAATCACATTTTTATTTGTCACATGCGCCGAATACAGCAGGTGTAGACCTTACCGTGAAATGCTTACTTACAAGCCCTTAACCAACAATGCAGTTTTATGAAAAATAACAGTAAGAAAATATTTACGAAATAAACTAACGTTAAAAAAAATCAAGAGCAAAAATAAAATAACAATAACGAGGCTATATACAGAGGCTACCGGTACTGAGTCAATGTGTTAGTCGATGTAATAACAGTAGGGAGGCTATATACAGGGGCTACCGGTACTGAGTCAATGTGTGGGGGTACAGGTTAGTCAAGGTAATTTAGGTAATATGTACATGTAGGTAGGGGTAAAGTGACTATGCAGTCTACTCGTATGAATATTTTTAATGACCAGTATACGCCCACACCATTCTGTTGGAGTACGCCCACACCATTCCAACACAGGAAAGCTGCTTTGTAACAGTGGGGGAAAAAAGTATTTAGTCAGCCACCAATTGTGCAAGTTCTCCCACTTAAAAAGATGAGAGAGGCCTGTAATTTTCATCATAGGTACACGTCAACTATGACAGACAAAATGAGAAAAAAAATCCAGAAAATCACATTGTAGGATTTTTAATGAATTTATTTGCAAATTATGGTGGAAAATAAGTATTTGGTCACATACAAACAAGCAAGATTTCTGGCTCTCACAGACCTGAAACTTCTTCTTTAAGAGGCTCCTCTGTCCTCCACTCGTTACCTGTATTAATGGCACCTGTTTGAACTTGTTATCAGTATAAAAGACACCTGTCCACAACCTCAAACAGTCACACTCCAAACTCCACTATGGCCAAGACCAAAGAGCTGTCAAAGGACACCAGAAACAAAATTGTAGACCTGCACCAGGCTGGGAAGACTGAATCTGCAATAGGTAAGCAGCTTGGTTTGAAGAAATCAACTGTGGGAGCAATTATTAGGAAATGGAAGACATACAAGACCACTGATAATCTCCCTCGATCTGGGGCTCCACGCAAGATCTCACCCGTGGGGTCAAAATGATCACAAGAACGGTGAGCAAAATCCCAGAACCACACGGGGGGACCTAGTGAATGACCTGCAGAGAGCTGGGACCAAAGTAACAAAGCCTACCATCAGTAACACACTACGCCGCCAGGGACTCAAATCCTGCAGTGCCAGACGTGTCCCCCTGCTTAAGCCAGTACATGTCCAGGCCCGTCTGAAGTTTGCTAGAGTGCATTTGGATGATCCAGAAGAGGATTGGGAGAATGTCATATGGTCAGATGAAACCAAAATATAACTTTTTGGTAAAAACTCAACTCGTCGTGTTTGGAGGACAAAGAATGCTGAGTTGCATCCAAAGAACACCATACCTACTGTGAAGCATGGGGGTGGAAACATCATGCTTTGGGGCTGTTTTACTGCAAAGGGACCAGGACGACTGATCCGTGTAAAGGAAAAAATGAATGGGGCCATGTATCGTGAGATTTTGAGTGAAAACCTCCTTCCATCAGCAAGGGCATTGAAGATGAAACGTGGCTGGGTCTTTCAGCATGACAATGATCCCAAACACACCGCCCGGGCAACGAAGGAGTGGCTTCGTAAGAAGCATTTCAAGGTCCTGGAGTGGCCTAGCCAGTCTCCAGATCTCAACCCCATAGAAAATCTTTGGAGGGAGTTGAAAGTCTGTGTTGCCCAGCGACAGCCCCAAAACATCACTGCTCTAGAGGAGATCTGCATGGAGGAATGGGCCAAAATACCAGCAACAGTGTGTGAAAACCTTGTGAAGACTTACAGAAAACGTTTGACCTGTGTCATTGCCAACAAAGGGTATATAACAAAGTATTGAGAAACTTTTGTTATTGACCAAATACTTATTTTCCACCATAATTTGCAAATAAATTCATTAAAAATCCTACAATGTGATTTTCTGGATTTGTTTTTCTCATTTTGTCTGTCATAGTTGACGTGTACCTATGATGAAAATTACAGGCCTCTCTCATCTTTTTAAGTGGGAGAACTTGCACAATTGGTGGCTGACTAAATACTTTTTCTCTCTCTCTCTCTCTCTTCCCCGTCTCTCTCTGTCTTCCCCTGTCTCTCTCTCTCTGTCTTCCCCTGTCTCTCTCTCTCTCTGTCTTCCCCTGTCTCTCTCTCTGTCTTCCTCTGTCTTTCTCTCTCTTTCTTCCTCTGTCTCTCTCTCTCTCTGTCTTCCCCTGGCTCTCTCTCTGTCTTCCCCTGTCTCTCTCTCTCTGTCTTCCCCTGTCTCTCTCTCTCTGTCTTCCCCTGTCTCGCTCTCTGTCTTCCCCTGTCTCTCTCTCTGTCTTCCCCTGTAATTTTCATCATAGGTACACGTCAACTATGACAGACAAAATGAGATTTTTTTTCCAGAAAATCACATTGTAGGATTTTTAATTAATTTATTTGCAAATTATGGTGGAAAATAAGTATTTGGTCAATAACAAAAGTTTCTCAATACTTTGTTTTATACCCTTTGTTGGCAATGACACAGGTCAAACGTTTTCTGTAAGTCTTCACAAGGTTTTCACACACTGTTGCTGGTATTTTGGCTCATTCCTCCATGCAGATCTCCTCTAGAGCAGTGATGTTTTGGGGCTGTCGCTGGGCAACACGGACTTTCAACTCCCTCCAAAGATTTTCTATGGGGTTGAGATCTGGAGACTGGCTAGGCCACTCCAGGACCTTGAAATGCTTCTTACGAAGCCACTCCTTCGTTGCCCGGGCGGTGTGTTTGGGATCATTGTCATGCTGAAAGACCCAGCCACGTTTCATCTTCAATGCCCTTGCTGATGGAAGGAGGTTTTCACTCAAAATCTCACGATACATGGCCCCATTCATTCTTTCCTTTACACGGATCAGTCGTCCTGGTCCCTTTGCAGAAAAAACAGCCCCAAAGCATGATGTTTCCACCCCCATGCTTCACAGTAGGTATGGTGTTCTTTGGATGCAACTCAGCATTCTTTGTCCTCCAAACACGACGAGTTGAGTTTTTACCAAAAAGTTATATTTTGGTTTCATCTGACCATATGACATTCTCCCAATCCTCTTCTGGATCATCCAAATGCACTCTAGCAAACTTCAGACGGGCCTGGACATGTACTGGCTTAAGCAGGGGGACACGTCTGGCACTGCAGGATTTGAGTCCCTGGCGGCGTAGTGTGTTACTGATGGTAGGCTTTGTTACTTTGGTCCCAGCTCTCTGCAGGTCATTCACTAGGTCCCCCCGTGTGGTTCTGGGATTTTTGCTCACCGTTCTTGTGATCATTTTGACCCCACGGGGTGAGATCTTGCGTGGAGCCCCAGATCGAGGGGTTCAGTGTGGTCCTATTGAGTCAGTTTGCCTGTGGGCTAATTCGGTGCTCTTGTGCATTTTCAACTCACACTGGAGTGTAAAAGTACTGCGAGGAGCTCCAGCCGGGCATTAATTCTTGAAAA